AAACCATTTTCTCCTTAGGGAGCCCAGTCACATGTTTTATACTGTATAGTGTAAATGAAGTATACATCTAGTTTACCTTAAGTTCTTCACATCTATCGTTCCCGATCCATCAGCATCAAAAAGATCAAATGCTTCTCTAATTTCTTGTTTCTGTTCTTCAGTGAGTTCAGGTTTGGGACCTGTTCTTTTCTTGGTGCCACCTAAAGCTGATCTTTTGTACTGTGATGCCTAGTGACACATAAAAGCGATAGTGATCAGAAGTGAGCCAATTATCAACAGCAGACCAATTTCTTCCATGATTGCACTGTTCTCCACTCTAATAATGAGCCTATTATCTAATTGTCACCATAAATACGCCACTTAGAATCCATTAAAGCATGTTAAACAAGTTTAAGATTGATCAATACAGTTTGCCCGAAAGTCTTTGGAAATTGAATGGTTATTTGCTATACTAAGGTTATGTGAAGAAAAAATGGTCACTGATACTTTTTTATTTTAAAAAGTGACATTAATTTAAATACCGGGGATTAATACATGGCAACAGAACATGTTCTTGCTTGAGAACACTGGTGTGTCTAGTATCAACCCATCCATGTCTACGAAACAGTATTGATTAACCTTAATGGAAGTCAAGTTGGCCCTCCTCTTTGTTGAATCATAAAAGAGCAGAATAATAAAATTGTTCAGTAACAAGTGAGGCATAAAATAAACTGATTGCTTGCTTTACTTGGATACACATCATAGCTTTGAGTAAAGTTGAATTAAACGATCAGTGGTGTTCATTCCATACAAGTGCTATTCAACAGCAACCTTGCAAACAAATTTATGAGGCTAGAAAATCGTGACAGTTCAAACCAATTTTGGAGGCATTGCCTTTAAAAAGACACCAATGAATTACAAGATTTACTGAAAAGACATGCCAATTCTGACAGCCGGTAATGGATCTTCACATTAGGACAACCACAGCAAGATATATCCATTATTTATTGAAAAGCACTTTCTGGGTTTACAATGATATATTAAAGAATCGTTAAAGAAATATAAAAAAAAATGTAAATCTCCAGTATGCTATGAACACCCCTCAGTTGTTGATGAGCAATCTGTGTAAATTATTCCGAATGATAATACTATTTTTATCTCCTAGAATATGTAAAAGAATTGCTAGCGGCAATACATCTTTATACAAACACACCTCTTAATTTTACAAGTATAGACAGCTCTAACTGTCAAACACGCTACAATCATTGCTAGAAATGTTCATTATATCCTAATCTTGGAAATTGTTGGTAAAATATTTCACAATTACCGAGACTTGTGACAAACGTTTCTGTGAAATTAAGATGGTTTACAGTATTACAAAGTTTATACACCACAGAGGAAATCAAACTCCGGGTCATTTAAGGCCCAATATTGACAAGATTCCAGGCTATTTTATTTGTGATTTACAAGTTGGAGCAAAGGGAATTCTCAAGTTTCATCTGAATCAATGTCAACATTTTCCAATCACCTAAAACACACTGATTGGGTGAATGAACACAATCTCCTTGGAAATAGTCAAATCAAGTACTTGTTAGAAAACCGAATACTCTGTGTTTGGGGATGAACAGTTCACTGTAGATTTCACATAATACAAGGATGTATGCAGACGTAGATATAAACTTTTTGCCATTGGCAAATTATAAATAAAAAGATATTGAGATATTAAAGAAAGCTTAGAAAGAACTCATTGAGTGCTGAGAGCATTGGAGGCATATAAAAAATAAATTCAAAACTTAAGATTAGCCTTTCAAAACAAGAAGCTTGGCAACCAACATTTGTCTATTTGAGATGCTCAATGCGAAAATAATGTGATCCATATTATTGAAGTTGTTTTTTGTTTGTTTGTTTTTTTGTCTTTTTTTTATTATTGAAGTTTATAATACTTGCAGATAATAAATTTGATTGTACAGTTGTGGGTTGCAGTTTAATTTATTCCACAGCACCAAACTACATGTACTGTAAAATCTGTATTAGAAACCGCGGCTTCCATTAAAATGGTACAATGCAACAGAGGGAATGCGGCTTCTATTAGAGCATCTACACATATGAGAAATGATGAATTTTTGGTTCTCAATTATTCAAAAAGAATGGGTGCGACTTCTATTAGGGATGCGGCTTCTAATACAGATTTTACGGTACATGTAATTCGATCATCATATTTTCCTTCAGCATCTATTATTGCAGCATGCAAGTTTTTTTTTTTTTTTTTACTATTAAATATCTATAATCAGAATTCACAAATTTCCAATATTGATGAAAAGCAATAATTAAGTTGGAATTAACAATCCAATACTACATGACCTATGATCTGTGACCAAGAGGTCAGTGACCCCCCCCCCCCACAAATAAATCTGATATTAATTTCAAATAAATAGATCCGGATTTTTTGTCAATATCCTGTAAGCTTTGTATGAATTTAACCAGGCTTCACATTTCGGAATACAATTAAAGAGCTGGGCTTTTATAAATCATAATGCAGGCTTTGAAAAACAAGATCAAAGCTAGACCGAGATAATTGGAAATTTCCAATTATACAAGAACATGGATATATACAAAAATGTAGGTTTTCCTGGCACTCTCTCTATGGTGAATAGGATGAGAACCCTCTATGGTAAACAGGATGAGATGTACCATGAAATCCTTGCAATCTCAAATGTGGCATTACTAGGAATTAATACACATTTTGCTTAAATACATTCACTTCACTTTCATAATAAATGTTTCCCCTAGTCATTAAAGCACGAGAATGACTTGCAGTCAATTTCAACCGTTCAGACACTATTTAAAATGTCAGTCTGTCCCAGCACATGAAACAAGACATAAATGTCACAGTCCTTTATTTGATAATAAAATACTCGTGTTAAGTAGTAAATGGTACATCTGCAAACAGGTGAATGACTATGTACTCTATGTGGGTACAACTCATCATAAAGTGATTTCCCTTAATCTTGTATTGTATTGTATTGTACTTCCATTGACCCATGTTCAAAATCTCTCATTACACAAGTGCAACAAAACTACGTGTCATACATGTATACTTGCTCAAGAAACTGCATTCATAAATCTGAGTAAACCTTGATGTACCTTTAATAACAAACTTGACTTCTTTGTCAAATTCAGGTATTTATATATTACCAGGACCTGGGTTTGTTTCAATATCACCACTAAGCAACAGAATCATTCTTGCGTAAAAATATGACAATGAAGATAATGATGAAGATTTTGACTTTGACTGTGTTCCAACAGACTAATATTTTTAACCTAGTAAATATAAGTTGTTTGAAATGAATATTATAATAAAATATGCATATTTTTTGTGACCTCTTCTGTTTTTTTATTGTAAACGTCAATGACGATGCTACCGTACTAATTTTGTAATTTTATTTTCCAGCAAAAGTCGTAATATCCCCCTCAATTTGTCAAATGCTCTGTTTTAAAGGGGTGCTTGTGTGAGCGCCTACCCCTAAAAAAAAAAAAAATTTCTGAGTAGAGGACACTGCGCAAGTACGGTAATATAAAGGTGACAGTTTTCTGACACTTTTTGTTCATTCATGATTATAATTCTTTGTTATAGTTCTTTGGGAACACTTCTGATAAATTTTAAGTGTCTTCGAGTTTGTTAATGACACAGCTCTGTATTTTCTATGTATAGTTCAAATTGTGTTTTTGTTATCAATTTATATAAGATCGAATACATTAGGTAAAACTTGTGAATCTGAAAACAAATTCATGAATCTGAATCTAACAGAATCAATTTATTCTGAGCATGCACAATAGTTCTGTCAGTGTTGTTGGGAGAGGTAAATTATGATGAAAATCTGGAAAAAGACCTACCGGTACTTAGGATTTTCAGATCAGAAAAAAAAAAAAAAAAAAAGTGCATATCCAGTAGATTATTGTTCATTGATATCTGCTGCATAATTTATGAGAAAATGTTCCAGACAAAAATTCACATTGGAAACAAAGGTCGAATAAGAAACATTACTCCCCTTTTCAGGCTGTGTCTGAAACGGGGACTAAAAAAAATTAAAATTGCACTCTTGGCCACTCTACCCTAAATGATAATACAAGAAAATAATTGTGGATATTACTTTGGTGAATGCAATCGCCAGAGGGATATGAGCAGACAGATGGGGGAAGCACTTAACTATTGACCATCAGTGAAAAATATTCAACTTCGATTAAATAATAAATCTTTGTCAACAAGCGAGCAGAATCTTGCTCTATTAATAGTTATCTAGTAATGTACTAGTATTGTACGAAGCATCTACATGTGCAATTAAGTGATGGATTTAAACCAATTTCTTTTTCCTTATATTCATCAAATACTACAGTAAATGAACTTGATATATTGTGCATGAATGAAACCACAAGGTAGGCAGTGTGTATTTATAAATGAAACCACAACATGGGTAAATGAACATTTTAGCAAATTACATTTCATAATTTCTTTATTGTTGAGGCATTTAATTTTCGATGTGTGTAATTCATTAATTTAGATTGCTACAAAAACTATGGTTATTGCACATAAAATACAAACAACTTCATTTTTGCAAGTCTTTGGAAAATCACAAAATAGGGTTCTCTCGGTGACTTTCGAAAAAGTCAACCTCTCAAACACTTATGAGGTAATTATAATAGGTAACAGATTTAAATTAAACACAATAATAGTAAATGACAAAGGAAATAATTCTGATATTACATGTATGAAGGAACTTCATAGCACATTTCTAAGCAGGAAAAATACCTGATAATACTTACAATGAAATATTAAACCATTATGCAGGGATTTGGAACAGTCTAGTAGGATACAATGCATATTCATAGTAATGGCTTTCAGGAAAATAGAGCATACATGTATATACAATAAATTTCATTGAATCTGTCACATCATCAGCTTGACATATCAACATACAAAGTACAGGTGGCTATTACAAACTATCTACAAGACCAGACATGCATTGTACATGTGTAATGCAACAAGCTATTTACTGCCATGAATGAACAGAAAGTCAAAGAAGTGTATGACGATTGAGACTGAGCTTCCACTGTATATAAAACAGCTTTTAGCCATGCTACCTAATCGTATTGATTTTCTGGGCAATTTATTTTCACCCACTTTTCAAACACTTTCATGTTAGGGAACTGAAATGTTGCTGTATCGTGTACTTCACATTAAGCAATGTGTT